TATTAAGGAGGCCAGGAAAGGAAAGGGCTTCATGGCAAATGCTTATTGATACTGCCTGTAAGCAGTGGAGCAACAGAAAAGAAGCCATGGAGGGAGGAGACAGTTTAAAGATCTTCCTCCCTCAAAAGGAGCCTGTGCTGCAGCTTTCGTCTCCTCTCTTTACAGGGATCGAATGCGGACAAGCTTCAAAAGACCCTTATATCAATTCAATAATAGCAATATGATGATAAGGGCTCACCACAATTTTCCTCACCCCTTGACTTCCCACTATTCCTCCTAACACCAACACTACTAATTAATTTCTCTGCTCTCAGACATAAAATCCTGCTAAGGAAATCTAAAAACTGATAAACAAGTTTATTACAAATCTCATCTGAGCCCTCACTGCTGTTCCAGAATCCTTTAATTAATCCCTTAACTTCCTCTCGAAATCCCTGAGTAGCAATTTCCACCTTCACCCCAATCCACTTAAATGATTTCTCTCTTTGTGTGAGCTAAAAATAGTTTTTTGGGAATAAGAAAAATCACTTCTACAAAACTAGACGGGGAATTTTTTCTTTTTAGGAATTCTACAGAATTATGGTTTTCAGAACCATGTGAGAGTGAGATTATATCCATAGCCAAATACAAATAAACCACTCATCAATCATGTTATAGTAAGCCTTACTATGGTTACTTAAATTACATACTCTACCCCAAAAATTAAAATTTTGAAAAATTTTGTAAAAACTATACTGAGAGCTAACTGTACTCACCACTGTAAGCTCTTTACCAGCTGCTTTCCGGAATGCTTTAGTCCACCTGACCTTGCGAGGATTGCGCTTCTTTTTAAAGTTTCTATGACATTTGGATTTACAGAATCTAAATACCTACAAGAAAAGTAAGTTAAGATATTGAAAAGTCAACATTAAAAAGTTTTATATGATAAGATGTTACCACTCCAGACAAAAAATACTGTAAATTCTTAAGAAATGACAATGGTTCTCATTCACAATTCCTTCTACTTACATCACCATCTAGAAATGTGTGGAACATTATCAGATTAAATGGAAATTAAACTATCTTTTGACTATCAAATGCCATACCAAGTAAAGGCTAAATGCCCTGAAAATATGGTTAAAAACTACTAATCATTTTCGTAGAATAACAGCAAAACCTTATAATGATCTTGACTAAAGGGAATAGTTTTAAAGGCATTTACTTAAGTCCCTTCTCAATTCAGAATAACTCTCAAAATTCACTTTCTATATTCCTCAGTGGGAGTAAAAGCTTCAGACAACCATTGTGAAACCTCCTTTGAATCTTTCCATCCTTCCTTCTTGTTAAAAGCACAAAGTAATTTATAAAGCTGCTAACTCTGGCAACAGATGTTTTCTAAAGTATTTATTCATAGATTTACTAATAAGATCCTTTACTACTTTAATTCTCCACCTTCAACCCAGAAGATGTAAACCTTTAATAATGCTAACTTACAACTTAATGATGCTTCAATATGTTCCTGAAATGGCTTATTAGAACTCATTTTTGAACATTATTTTATTACTTTGTAAAGTCTAAGAACACACTGCCATTTTTGTAGGTCACTGGAAGAAATGTGAGGTTTATGGATCTTGGCAAAGAAAATTAAGTTGAATGCTGAGGGCCGCCCCCTCCACCCATAACCAAGCAAGCAACAGAGCACACCCGGGGTCCTGAGGAAGGAGGTGATGGCCGCCTCCCCACCTGCAATCAGGCAAGGAGCCCGCCAAAAACACCACTTCCACACAGGTGGCCCATCACAGCCACCGCCATAGCCACAGCTGCCACAAAAGCAGCTCAATTCTACAACAGTAGCCACAGCCACAGTGCAGGTGGCCCAAAAGACACTCGACTGCATTGACACAAGGAGAGTCACCAGTAGAGACCAGAAAAAGAAGACGACATTTCTCTCCACATAAGCCCACTCCAAAGTAATAGAAGAAGCATCTGCTTTACAATAATAATGGAAGACCTGAACATCCTCCTCTTAGCATTGGACAGATCATCTAGGCAACAAATCAACAGAGAAACTGTTAATCTTTCAGGAGAGAACAAATCTATGGTTATTAGAGGTGGAGGGAGAGGGAAGGGGGAGATGGGGAGAAATTAGATAAGGGGTATAAAGAATAATTATGATTTGTAATAATGAATATGCTAATGATATTGATTTAATCAACACGTTGTACCCAAAAAATATGTATAATCAAATATGCTTCAATAAAAATATATAATTTTTTTAAAAAGAAAATAAAGTTGAATTATCACACGTAGAAGGTGTGACGTATAATAAAATAGGTCAAAATGAACAGTAAAAACATTTTGAACTAAGTATGCCTGTGTATGTATCACAAATCATAATAGTTTTCACTTTATATACACTTTGTTCTATGGAGAACTTCAAGCAAGTCACCATACATAGTGACCATTTTCTTAGAAACTATCAATACCAGTGTAATCTGACCTAGGCCCACACCTCCTGGAGAGCCCCCTCCTAAGAGACTTCAGTGAAAGCATATGTGTGTCTTTGAGTTAATTTCAAATCAACTAGAAAATATGAGAAGTACTGTAGTCTCCTTGGGTATCCCACTATAAAATCATTATTGGTAAACTCTGACTATTTTCAGCCCAAAATTCTATTACCTTTTTAAGTAAAAGCCTCCTAAGTTTAATACATACTAGATAAACCCGAAAATATCCCCATTTCT